CTGTCAAGAGGCTATCATGATATAAATGCACCTGCCACCATGTAAGATGCATCATATCAGTGAAGCCTACAGATAATTTGCTGTCCAATCCAGAGAAGCTGCCCTCTGTACCTAACAAGGGAGTAGAATATACTTACCTGCCAATCAATGAATAAACATAAAAACAGCAAGAAAAGTCATACACTTTCCTACAATTCTGTTGATATTATATTAGGCAATCCATTCTGTTTCTCCCATTTTAGGACTATTCCCCCCATGATTCTCAGAAGATGTCACAGAGCAATCAAAGTAATGGAAGTTGGAATATGTGATGTGGAAAATTGAATGATTAGAGATTTTATGGTGGGTTTTTTTGGAAAATTTAATAAAAAAAATATATTACAAAGTAATGGAAGTTGGACTAGTCAAAGAGCTATGCGTCAGAAATAGGTTTACCTTAAACAAAATCACATAGAATCATAGAACTATAAAGTTGGAAGCTACCCTGAGGGTCATCTAGTCCAATCCCCTGTGATGCAGGAATTCCAACTAAATCATACATGAGAGCTCAGTATGTGTAACTCCTTTCAGAATAGAACATGCATTTGTCCGTTGCTTAGAATTATATGCTTTTTAATCATGTAACGAATTCATCAATATTGAGTAGACAAGAGGCTGCTGGTGGCCCATTGACAATTCTGTCAAGGAGCATTGTGGGCAGAAACCAAAGTAGTAGCTCTGTGCATGCAACAAAGCTTTTGGAGTTGTGTTTGCAAAAGACCAGCTCTCACCGCCGCTGCCTATAAGAGTTGCCCATGCTTGAGTGGGGAACCTTTTTCAGCCAGAGGCCACATTCCCTGCTGGGCAACCCTCTCGGGGCCAGATAATAGTGGTGGGTGGCACAGAAGCAAAAGTGGGTACAGCAACGCATGTGACTCTTCATACAATTCAGCCATGGAAAATTCAGATGTTTTATTCATTCACAAAAAAACACCATTATCACTACCCAGGCAGGTAAATACATTGTGTTCAAGAACACCTTCCAGCCAGGCAAATGCACTTAGGAAGGGCATGGTGAGAGGTGTGGCTTGGGGAGATTAACACTGGCCAGATAGGGAAGCCTGCAGAGCAACATCCAGCCTCTGGCCTGAGGTTCCTCAGCCCTGCTGTGAGTAGAGTCCGAAATCCTCTGATTCCCCTCTCCTCTTCAACTAAGAGAAACCTTGCTGCAGGCCTATATTTCAGAAACCCACCAAGGGTATATAATCCTATTATGAAAGCTGTTCCATTATCAGTAGTGGTATGCAGCCTGAATCAGTTGGCAAGGTTCAACAAACAATGCAACAATACATTTTAAACCCGTACTGCTTCTTAAAATTACAATTTCCACTGAGGAATCCAAAAGGTGCATCTGTCTTTCAGGACATCTTCCTGGTTCCAATCATCTCACAAAGATATGAAAATACAGTTTTGGAAAGAATATAAAGATATGTTGTTATTAAGGTTAACAATAGCATATGGTTTCCTATCTTTCTTTTTTAAAAAAAATGAGAAAAAGAAAGAATGCCACTGAATTCTTATTAAAAGAAGAAGCCACACTTAAATCCAATATATATATATAAAGTTTTACAACATTCAACCAAAACAGAAAGTATTAAAAGATCAGAAAACAAGAAAATACCGATTTAATTATACAATTTAGTTTTTAAAATTTGAAGAAGGAAATGGGTGTGTTTCTGGTATTTAGCTTCAAGTTATTTGCACAACATATAGCCTGAAGATCTTTTAAATGAGAGTATCCTGAACAGCAGTGTGGTCATATGGTAATGGAGCCATCAGCTTTCCATTTGTATATTAGCCTCTTTATAATAAAAATGTAAGAATGTCATCAAGCAACACCTATTGGAAGATTTGTAGTGTCACATCACAATCCTGTATTTACATGAAGTCAGGTTGGGACAGGGCAGCAAAAATGAAGGCAGGTTGAACAACTGCCGTGGCATGGCAGGGAAAAGGGGGTGAGACTGAGAGGAAAATGGCAGTTCTAAACAATGGCAGAGTTTTGAGTAAAGTAGCTTCACTATATGTACTATAGAATTTTTGAGGGCTCTGCATCCTTTTATCTTCCTCACATGAGCTGAAGAATGGAAGAAGGATAAGATTGAGCACACCAAGAAGGGAGAGACACTGAAAGCGGGGATAGTGGCTTTTGTCTTTACACAAATATACTCCTGCCATTGAATTAAATGGTCAAAACATTATCTTTATGTCATTTTTCTGTCGTTTATCTATTTATTGCAGGGGACTGGAATACTACCGCCCACCCCAATCATGCCACACAAAATACCGCAGAAATTTCTCTACTCTTGTCTGAGGAGGAATTTCCAAACTCACTTTGAATTTAGGAGAAATCTGTTGGCAGCATTCACCAACACTAATATTATGCTTAATTACAAGGCAACCTACCCCCAAATTGCATGTTATGTTAATCATATTTTTCTTTCACTTGTAGCCAGCATTGGGGAGGGGGGGCAAGATTAGTATTAGGATTCTGACATGGGAAATGTTTTTGTTTTTTTTCATCCTTTGTCCCTGTTGTTAATTAGACTGGACCATGCTATTTGGAAGGAGGCTAAAGCCAAGGAGCTTTGCTACCTTGCAAATAACAGGTGTGAGAGGGGTAATGGACTAAATCTCTCCCCTGCTCCTTGCCAGGGTCATTATCCTGACTAGGGCCTCCAAAATGGCTATTGTGTCAGGAAATTTTGACTTAGTGGCAAACTATGTGATTAACATAAGATGTAGTTTTTCCCTTAGAGCTGGTAGGAGAGGAAGGGAAATTCAGAATGAGGGGAAGACAAACACTGATCCCACATTCTCCTGTTAATTGCTTACTTGTGGCTCAGCAGTCAGAAGTGGCCCAAAGGCATTTATGGTGTGTGCGCATGTGTCCATGCGCACAGTGACCTGCATGCTTGGTTCAGTGTACTTTGGTTCTGCCTAGAGTCACATCTCCAACCTACACATAAAAATCACCAGTACCTTTTATTATTGGGTTGTGCATAGTGCTTAATTCAAGTAATAACTACAGAAAGCAGCTACTGCTGGTAACCCTTTCATGTTTCTTCTTGCACAAGGAAACATGAAAGTGCGAAAATAATGAGAGTTTCATTAATCATTACTCAGTCCTCGCCTTGTAAATGTTGATGGAGAAAATCACAAAGAAAATGTTATTTCCTACTCCTTAAGATTTTTCTCTTCTCCTTAATGAGGCATCTGCAGACAGCTACTTGGTTGCTTTCCCCTATCCACAGTGGAATTAGTAGATTTGTTATCGCCAGAATATAAAAGCAAACAGCATATGGTTTTGTTAATATCATCGTAATGTCACAGCGCAATCTGTCACAATGCAAACTCCTTCCAAGCAATTTCATTTGAGTGGAATACTCAGCAAGAAATGAAAAAAGGAAGGCAATCACCAGTTTCCTAACTCTTTCATAATGCTCACCTCTCCCATCATTTGCATCTGTCCCAGTGTCTATAAATATTACTTTCATTGGCTATAACCCCTGAAACGGAAATCAGTTGCCTCCAGGAATTAAACAGTCATTTCCCCTTGGTGCAAAGTCTTTTCTATCAGATAAGTAGCCACTTATACTCTGGCAACCCTTCAAAGGGGTTTAGAAATTAGAGACACTGTTTGAAGATCAAGAAGATAAGGTGGCTTGCCTTGTTTTTAGCCCTGGAAACCTTCCTGGGTGACCCTTTGAAATTCAAATGAAGGATGCTTTAGATAGCTCTTTCTCTATACAGTATATGCCAAATAAATGCTGCCCATTGATCACTTTTGAAATCAACAGAAGGTCCAGCGCTTGCAACTTATTTTCTGAAATACTGCAGTATATATTCGGCAATAAGGAGATTTGCTTAGCGTACCCCATTCCAACTGTGGGCGCACATAGCCTTTTATTCTTCAATTTCACCGATCAGCTGCTTTGCAGAGATGGAAGACTGCACAGAGTCCTCTCTACTCCCATCCCTGAACACCTGCTCTGTGCTAAGGGCCTTTACCTATCAGGTTTATACATGCACAGCACTGGCAGCTGAATAACGGTAGAGAATTATGCGTGCACAATGATCCATCCAGCTAATGATGCACATGTGAATTGCCTGCAAGCACATACATGTGACCTCCAGCAATGTGACCTTTTTAAATGGCATGCCCTCTCTATGATTGGAAGTGTTTTTTCACCTTCTGGCTGTCCTTGCAGTATGCAACCAGTTAAACAGATGCTCTCAAAGTATCATGGTTAGCTTATGCATTCTACTCTGTTTTGTTGTCTGCCCATTATATCAATACTTCTAAACAGCAGCATCTTTTCTGTGCATTTAAAATCTGTATCCAGTTATTGGATAATTAGGCATTTCATTTACAAATGCTACCACCACCACCACAAAAATTACTTTCCTGTCTTGAAATTTTATATTGCTAAGTGAGCCATTAAGACAACTACATTTTTTAAAAAAGAGCCAAAACATTTCTTTTTGCAGGACCTGTTTTAAAGGGTTTTTTATTTACTCAATTTAAGTACTTTCCTGTATTTAACTCCCCACCTCACCTCTAACAAGCATATCTCAAAGATTTCTGTTTTGTTTCATTTATATGCTTTCAAAGAGAAATAACAAGATATACTAATACTTCAAGCCTAACAACTCTTGGAAGAAAATTCCACTGAAACAAGCAGGACTGATGCTTATGTAAAAAGCATCACAACGAAGTTACAGCGGTGAGCGGATGACATGCATCCCCCAGAATCTACAGTATTACATTTAACTCTACTTCCAACTTACTTGGGATCTAGAAATGTGCTGTTGTTGTTTTGCATAATTTCTGAGTTTGGGTGTAAATCCCACACAATAGACAAACTCTTCATCCTTCCCAGTTCATTCCTCTTTGAGCCTACCACCAGCCTTCCCCACACCCCAGAAAGGACCAAGTGTTAAAAGCTTAGGATCCTTACCTAGTTCAGCTGCCCCAGGACCAAAGCTCAAGAAGGAACTCCAAGCAAGAGCTGAAGCAGCTAAGAATTGCAGGTGGAGGCAGAAGGGCTGCTGCTGCATGTTGTCCCAAGGGTATTGTAGCCATACGTCTGCAGTTAAGAATTAACTTTTTTAGAAGTCTTGGAGCATTGCAGGAAGACGCATCAGCTCTCCTTTGAGCTTGTGCTCATTTTTCTTTAACTTTCTGTTCTAGGTAGGACTGACTGTTTTGCCAGTTTCCACTTTTCCAGTAGGAATCCCCCTTCTCCAGTTATAAGCACACGCCCTGATCTGCAAAGAATGCAATCCCCAGTCCAGCTGCAAGCAGTCCAGCTGCTACAATTTACACACCCTTCAGCAAACACACACATACACAAATGGAGCAGTTGTTGCCATGTTCCCCGATGCTGACATTTTCAACAAATCCACTGGCAAATTCAATAAAAGTAGGGTCGTCAGCCAAGTGCTCCTAATCAGGCCAAAATAGTGTGTGTGTGTGTGTGTGTGTGTGTGTGTGTGTTTTAAAGGACCCAAACCGTATATTTCGCTTCTACCCAGTATTTAGAGTAGGTTCATTCAGGAATGACCCCCCATTTATTTGTAGTGTTAGTGTCACTACTCAGGGCAATGTAACTTCTTTTGTGATTTGCTACAACTATAATAATTTCAAAAGAAAGCCATAGGGCCACACTAGGTAAATGAGCACTTTCCATTCTCCTATGACTGTCTCTTCACAAACTGGCTGACGAATTATTACAAGGAAATATTACATTGGAGTAGCTGTCTTGTAATGGAAACAGAATGCTGATCTTGATGCATTAGGAAGATATTATTAAAATGATTCACTAAGATCATTTTAGAATAATTAGAAGGATGTGTTGCTTAAATACAAGTGACAGCTCTCTCTCTCTCTCTCTCTCTCTCTCTCTCTCTCTCGTGTGTGTGTGTGTGTTTCACGTATACATTATTCTCATGAGGTCTGAATTGACACTGACTGACTAGGAATGAACTGTTGGGGTTGTAGTGCAATCATTGAAGATGTTGACCGAATGTGTGGCAACTGTGAAAAAGGATCATTAGGAAAGGAACTGAAAACTGCTGAAATTATAATGCTGTTATACAAATCTAAGGCACGTACAGCCAGCCCAAGCTATTTTGGCACTGGAGGCAAACCACCAAATAGTGACCCCCTCCCCACAAGGGACCAAGGAGTGAGTAAACATTTACAAGAACAAGAAGGGAGGAATAAAGATCTACATCCAGATCAGCTGCTCCTGTGGATCCTGTCACCTGAGGCAGTCACCTCACCTTGCCTCATGGAGGGCCGGCCCTGGTGACCACAACTGCAGTTGGAATATTCTGGTTGCATGACCTCCAAAAATGATATTGTGGAGTTGACAAAGGTTCAGAGAAGGGCAAGCAAAATGATTGAGGGGATAGAGAAACTCAAGGGATGCTAATACTCTAGAATGGGGATCATTAAACACTCTAAAGCAGTGTTCCCCAACCTTGGGCCTCCAGCTGTTTTTGGACTACAATTCCCATCATCCTTGACCACTGGTCTTGCAAGCGAGGGATGATGGGAGTTGTAGTCCAAAAACAGCTGGAGGCCCAAGGTTGGGGAACACTGCTCTAAAGCAGGGGTGCCAACTTCAATAAAATGTGGGGACACAGGTAAGCCCCGCCCCACATAATCACATGATGCAGTGCACACACCGTTCAAATGACAATGTTCATCAACTTGGGGGGATATGACCCCCTCGAATATTTTATTGTGGGGGCCGAAGCCCCCACAGTCCCTAAGAGTTGGCTCCTATGCTCTAGGGCAGTGTTTCCCAACCTTGGGCCTCCAGCTGTTTTTGAACTACAATTCCCATCATCCCTGACCACTGGTCTTGCTAGCTAGGGATGATGGGAGTTGTAGTCCAAAAACAGCTGGAGGCCCAAGGTTGGGAAACACTGCTCTAGGGCAGGGTTAGCTAACACCCTATTAAGGGTCTTATCTGAACTCCCAATACATTTTTTATTATCTCCCCAAGACCCTACCAATTTCTGCTGCAGAGGGGGGATTGTGTTGCTCTATATTTGTCTGCCACAGTGTGTGTGTGTGCGCACACACCCTCTGTATATGCACGTGCAACTGCATGTGAGGGTGAATGCAGCTGTCAGTCCCCCTGCCATTCTAGAGATAGGTAATACCCGCATAGGATACATTTTGCTGTATGCAGCATAGCAACAGCTTCAGATGTCTACCAGGCTGCTTGCAGATGTCAACTTATCGTCTTCAGCTACAGATGTGGCTAGATGAAATAGCTTCCCTTCTGCTGCCTGACAGGCTGAAGTGTTTACGCTACAGATTAATAGGCGTTCTTGTCACTAAACTCAGGTGGTAACAAGATACTGTATTTTATGACGTATTCTATCCATCTCTCAAATATCAAGCTTGAAAGCAACGGCTGTGCAGAGAAAACTATTTGAGAGTGCTTAAAATTAATTGCAATTGCAATTTATGTGAAACGAAATGATGTGCATTCCTGATACTGTATTATTTTTACATTGTTGCAAGAATTAGCGAGTTTAAAAGGCTGGAAATAAGAAACAAGTCTTCCTCATAAATATCACATCCACGGGACTTGCTTCTGTGCAAACCTGCATAGGCTTGCTCTGTATTTTGTTTTGTTTTTAATGAGCATTTGTTCAATTACCAAGCAGTCTGGTACACACTGTTGTTACTCTATTGGTCCCAGTGAGACAATGAGGCATGCTTAAGTGATAGGGTGCTGCTTGTGCTTGCCAACTCTTGGTTTGGGATTATGGACTCTTTGGATCAAAATCCCTTATCCGACAGCTGCCAAACCAATTCCCTTCCCCATTCACCCTTAACATAGAATTGCAGAGTAGAAGTGTAACACTGGTAGAAACAGCAGCTTCTCCTTGCCCTCCCTTTCCAAAGCTTTCAAAACCTCATGCAAGGCCTGGTCTCTAGATGCTGCTAGGTAAGCCACTCTGCTGGTCCACTGAGTTCAGCTCTCCTCCAAAACAAGCTGTTGCCACCACCTACTGATTTACAGACAGCAGTTGGAGTGTCCTTTTATATTGTTGCAGGCCACCCCAATCTCCAAGTGGTGCAAGATTCCACGGGTTCCAGGCCTTTACTGAGGGTTCATGTTTACTTTAGGAAATGAAACACAGTGGAGACTGTGATGTCTTCACATTTTTGCTGTGGCACCTAGCCTGAGTGCCAGAGGTAAGGCAGTGGGCAGTAAGTGGTATGCAGAGGCGGCGGGCAGCAGCTGTGGCAGGGGGCAGCACGTGGAGGTGGAGTCAGGCTGCAAGCAGATGTCATTATGGTGTGGCACAGTGTGCACCAATGTTGGGCACCTGCAGTGTGGGCCCCAAGTGTGGGCCCTTGGATGTCTTTATGATATATGGTTTATTTACACATATATCCAACTTGGGCTTACGATGGAGGGGTCTACAGCATTAACACCCCAAAAGCTTCTCCCATAGCTGCAGCCTTTGATTCAAGCAGAAATCAAGCACAGTGGTACCTCCGCTAACCCAGAAATAGTACCTCGGGTTAAGAACTTTGCTGCAGGATGAGAACAGAAATTGCGCAGCAGCGGCACGGCAGCAGCGGGAGGCCCCTTTAGCTAAAGTGGTACTTCAGGTTAAGAACAGTTTCAGGTTAAGAACGGACCTCCAGAATGAATTAAGTTCTTAACCCGAGGTACCGCTGTATTGTGCTCTGCCTTTCCAGCCTGCAACCTTTTTCATGCAGCGTCTAACTTACATAACTCCATGTCTAACCTCCCTACTCTAAACTCTAGCTTTAGCTGTTGAGAGAGGGGGTCCTCACCCATTTGCCATCGTGCACTGAGCCTCCTTGATGGTTTTCCCCCCTCTTAATGGCCCATCACACAGGCAATCACCTCAACGCAAAACTTTAGCCTGGCTTAATTTGCTTTTTGGGATGCGGGTGGCGCTGTGGGTTAAACCACAGTGCCTAGGACTTGCCGATCAGAAGGTCGGCAGTTCGAATCCCCGTGACGGGGTGAGCTCCCATTGCTCAGTCCCAGCTCCTGCCAACCTAGCAGTTCGAAAGCACATCAAAATGCAAGTAGATAAATAGGTACCGCTCCAGCGGGAAGGTAAACGGCATTTCTGTGCGCTGCTCTGGTTTGCCAGAAGCGGCTTAGTCATGCTGGCCACATGACCCGGAAGCTTTACGCCGGCTCCCTCGGCCAATAAAGCGAGATGATGAGCACCACAACCCCAGAGTCGGCCACAACTGGACCTAATGGTCAGGGGTCCCCTTTACCATTTACCTAATTTGCTTTTAACACTTGCTGGATCAAAGGATTAGAAGTCTGGCACCCAGTTTGAAACCCTGATTCTAACACTTACTGGATCCAGGGATTTAGAGAGGTCTAACAACTCACGATTGGACCTAATGATCAGGGGTCCCTTTACCTTTATCTTTAACAACTCATAACAATATACCCAGCATGTGGGGTGAGATCTCCTAAGCTATTATTCCCTAGAGCATAACATATCCATGCATTTAAAAATCACTATAATACCAAATAATAGTGTTAATAGCCTAACCTGCTCCCACTATATTAGCTGCCATAACTTCCAGCTATTTTCCTATATCTCTACTCTTCCTGATCTCATTCCTTTCTTCAAGCTGCAGCTCTTTGTGCAGCCGTCTCTCAACTCATCCCTTCGAACTGTCACTTCTTAGCCCAGCTCTCCATCTGTCATTTTCTCCCACCCTGCCCATCACACTCCCCTGCTGTCAATCATTTTTCCCACTCATCTTTTTATTACACCTCTTTCATAGTGAGGTACAGGTGGTAAAGACTGGAAAATAGGGAAGAGCAGACAGTTTTTAGGAATGGGCTGGCAGTTGTAATTAGTACTGAGACAAAGAATCACAAAGGCAATATTTTAACATGAATTCTGTGGCATGTGATGCGTGTAAACTCTCCCCCAAATGTATCTGAAATGCACAATTTCTGTGGCTGCAAAAGAAGTAAGGCAGCAGAAGTAACACATTTCCTTGTCTTCTGTCATCCCTGTCTTCTCCATGCCTCCCAATCCAAAGCTTAAAGTTAAGCAGTTCTTTATTGTTTTGGTGACTGGGCACCACTCCCCATCCTCCAAGCAATGTGCAGCACATCAGTAGTGGTTGGTGGTCCAGCAGTGTTTACATGACCTCCTAACATCGGTGTCACTGTGGTGTATCAGGAGTGGGAGAGGCTTGGAAAAAGGGCTTTC